CTCATACTGAATTCATAGAATGGACTGGGAGGTGTTTCTCCTCCATTTCCTGATTTTTCAAAAGATTATATATTCTTTAAATATTTGTTTAAAAAATTAATCAATCAATATTTGAACTTACTAGTGATCTGTATTAGTTTCTAAGGGTGAAATTTTTAGTGTACTACAACAAATTTATGTTCTCACAGTTCTAGTGGCTAACAGTGTGAGATCAGTGTCAGCAGACCACTGACTCTGGAGGCCCTGAGAGAGAGTGATTCTGCATCTTGCAGGTTCCGGTAGCTCTTTGACACCTCCTGACTTGTGGCTAAATTGCGCTGGTCTCTGTGATGCAGCTACCAGTCAGGAACTGTCAACCATGTGTGTCTTTATATTTAGGCTGAATCCCTTCCAAAAAGAATAGTTGGGACTTGTCTTAATAGAACTCTGACAAACTCTGCTTTTTTAGTATAAGATTGAATTATAATCTAGCATCTTGATAGTTCTCCATTTGTCCCTCCTGGGTTTTTGCTCCTCTCTTGCTCCTTTCCCACCTTATTTTGAGTTAATCAAATGTTTGTTAGTGTTCCATTTTATTTTCAATAATGGCAACTGAGTTGTTCTTAATTTTTCAGTGTCTGCTGAAAAATTAGCTGCTCTGCAGCCAATAATATGTATCTTTAACCTATCAAAGTCTAGTCAATATAGGACCACTTCACACCTCTTCCTTCACCTGCTCCTTTACAAATGGAATAGCCTTGTAACAATTGTCTACAGCTACGATAATTTTGAGCTGTTGTCGTCTAATCTTTTAGTACTGTATATATTGCTATAGTCAGCCCTTAAGGAAATGACAGTAAAAATGTACACTTGCACATTTATACTCTTATTTACTTATTTATAATTTCTAGTGCTCCTCCCTCCCCCTGCCTCGTAGATTACAATTACCTTAAATTCTGGTCTCTGTATCGTCAGCACAGTGAGACCAATTGTTCTCCTTGGACTCTCTAGAGCACAAGTCTATAGTCAAGAAATTGTCTCCAGGCAAAAGAGCCAGGCCAAATAAGGGCTCACGATGCAAGTTTTCTTTCTCTCAGGGATTGCGGACATGCTAAACTAATACCCGAGGGAGTTACCAGCATGGGGTTTTAAAGCCAGAAGAGAATAAGGGGAGACACGTGTGAGAGTGACTTGCCTAAGACATTGGAATACAAGCAAGGTACGATGTAGGATGGTGGCCTGGCCTGTGGTGGGTGCCCAGGAGGGGTAAGGAATGAGTCTCTGGTTTTGTGACCATGAGCGGTATGGGAAGGGTGCTGCAGTTATGTTGTCAGTGTAACAAACTACTCCAAAACTCGATGGCTAAAAACAGCAATTAATACTCATTTATGAACTCTCAAGGTTCATACGTATCAGGAATTTATATAGATCACAGAAAAATGACTTATCTCTGCTCCATAATGGCTGGTCCTTCAGTTGAAAGCTAGGAGCTGAAATCATTACAATGCTCATTCACTAACAAGTCTGGCAGTTGGGAGCTTGAATGTCTCTCCATATAGAACTTTCCAGGTGGTCTAGAAAGAGCACCGTGGCCAGAGTGGGTTATGCTCTGGGCTGTTAACTAAAAGGTCAGCAGCTTGAACCGACCAGCTGCTCCACAAACGAACAACGAAGCTTTTTGCTCCCGTGAAGATTTCCAGCTTTGGAAACCCAAATGGGCAGTTCGAGTCTGTCCAAGAGTCGCTGTGAATCAGAATTGACTCGGTGACAGTAGGTCTATGGTCTAGAGGGGAGCTGGTTCTAAAGCGAGTACAGAGACAGACAGAAATAAAAGTTGTATTGCCTTTCAAGACCAAGCCACCGAAGTCATGCAGTATCTTTTTCACTATATTCTATTAACTTAGAGTAGAGGCAGTTTAAGGCCCATCCAGGTTCACAGGGAAAAACCAGACCCTACCTTTCAACAAGAGCATCACCATCTTGTCAGAAAAGCATGCAGCATGGCATAGATATGCAAATGTTTTTTTGTGAAAAGAAAGCGCGCCATAGTGGATGCTGTACAGTGGAAGAGAGTGAGTGAGATGGGGAGGACTTACACCTGGGAGGGCAGACAGGCAGCTTGCGATGGTGGAGTCCAAAGGAGGCAGCGGCAAGGTGAGGAAAGTTCTCATAGGGGAGTTATGTCTGCATGAAGCTTTCTTGTTTGAGTAGGATGAGGAAAGTATTCAATGAGCGCTGTGGAAGGCAGTGGCCAGTGTTCAGCATTTAAGCCTCACGGGAATAAGAGAAGGACACTTGCAGAGGGGAGGGGACAGGGCAATAGTGGTAGATCGGTTACATTCAGGAAGATTAATCAAATAAGTCAATCTATTAAGAATAGTGGGAACCAGTTTTCTTTCCTTCAGAGTAATTAGTTACAAATATAAAATAGGATAAAATTAGAGCCAATTTTGTCATGTCAGCTTAGAATATAAGGAATGCATATAGAAAGGGGCTTCCAAAAGTTTGTGGAAATGGAAATAGAAGATAATAGAACTTTTCTGAGGTTTTTGAAGCCCCTCTCATATTCCCTAGTTCTCTCTACTATCATGGGGACCACTGGCACCAAAATAACAATAATAAGCCATGTAAATCTGGCTTCTTTCTTTCTTTATTTAATTTTCGGGATAAATCTGGTTTTTATTCTCCACTAAAAGAAACCAGATGAAAATAATGATCTGAAAAGTAAGTGCCTACCTAGTTTACAATAAAGAGCTAGAGAGAGACACCAGAACACACTGAAGATGGCGGGTCCCATGACTGGTCCTGAGGCAGGGAAAGACAAAATAGGCCTGACATATCTTTGTGACAGAAAGTAAGAAAGCATTTAAAAACAGATAAAAACATGTCGAAATGACATAGAAGCCAGCTTGAAAGGGCGCTTACTGGCCAACTGTGGGATAACTTAAGCATCAAAATAAATAATGATAATGGTGGATTATAATCTAATGAATAAAATAGGAATCTATGTTAATAAAGTAGGAGTCCACCCTGATACAAATAAATGAAAAATCTGATGAGAAACCAGATAATCAAAGAACTTCTCCCACAAAATGTTTTATTTCTCTTTCAAAATGTTTTAATTATAAAGGAAAACAATAATTAAGGTAGAAGACCATCAAGAGATCAAAATATGATTGCATTAGGTAAAATGCAAAATATGATTTGCTGCACAAGATCTCTTTAACATATTGAAAAGCAAAGATATTACCTTAAGGACCAAACTAAGGTGCGCCTGACCCAAGCCCTGGTATTTTCCATCGCCTCATCTGCACGTGAAAGCTGGACACTGAACGAAGAAGACTGAAGAAGAATGATGTATTTCAATTAGGGTGCTGGAGAAAAACATTCAAGGTGCCATGGACTGCTTAAAGGACAAACCGATCTGTCCTAGAAGTATGGCCAGAGTGCTCCCTAGAGGCAAGGATGGTGACACTTCATCTTATGTACTTCGGACATATTGTCAGGAGAGACATCTTGTTTGGTAGAGTGGAGAGACAGTGAAAAACAGAAAAGCCCTCGAGGAGATGGACTGACTCCATGGCTGCAACAACGGGCTCAGGCATAGAAACGTGGTGCGGGGCCAGGTAACACTTTGTTCTGTTGTGCACACAAGGTCGCTATGAGTCCAATTTGACTCACTGCCACCTAACAACAGCAACGGGGGCAAGCACCACCTCAAATAAGGGACAAAAGGATATCATCAATGATGGGCCAGATCAAGATCAATGAATGAATGTAATCAGAAAAATAAGCACATCTCTGCGCCACCACAGATCTAAGAACTGCTTCAGATCACAAAAGACTTAACGAATTACATGATGTAAACTGAAGTTTTGTGGTAAAAGGCATTATTGAGACAACTGCTGAAACCTGAATGGGATCTGAGGATTAGATGGTAGTAATCTGTCGGTTTTACTTTCCTGATGTTGGGGTTTACATTCTAGTTATGTAGGAGAACATGCTTGTTTGTGGAAAATACTAAAATATTTGGTAAAGGAGTATCATGTTGAGAACTAATTCTCAAGTGGTAAGGGAAAAGCAGACACTTTTATTTGAGTGCAACTTTTCTGTAAACTTGAGACTGTTTCAATTTGTAAAAATCGGCTCAATTTTAGCAAACTCCAACTTAAAATCCAAACTGGAATTTCATTAACTATAGATACAACCTTAAAAACAAAATACTACATTTCAAATCAAAGCAATTATATATTCTGACAGAGATGTGACTGTACCTACAATTAAATGTTTATTTAATACAAGGAAAAGATCAGCAACATACACAGACCAACAACAAATTTTGAGGAGAAAAACAAACAAACAATCATGGCGATATATGTCAAAATAAATCATCCTCATAAAGCTAACTACAGAGGTATCTTATAACCCAGTGATCTAACTCCTAGATATAGACATAAGATAAATGAAAATATATGCCCACAGAAAAATTACAAGCAAATGTTCATAGCAGCATTATTCATAATAGTAAACAAGTGGTAGCAATCCAAATGTTCATCAACGGATGAAATAATAAACAAAATATAGTATATTCATACGATGGACTATAAAATGAAGTAAGTACTGACATGTTCTACACCATGTATGCACCTTGAAAACATTACAGTAAGTGAGAGAAGCCAAGCACATTCTAAACAAGAGGAAAGATCTTGGTGGAAAGGCTAAGATTTGTAGGCTGGGCATAGCAAAAGCAGTAGCTCCAAAACCCAGATCCCGAGCTTCAGATCAAGCACTGCCATCTCTAAGGCTCAATGGCTATATCCATCGAAGAAAACAAAAACTAAAAGAAGGTGAGGACAGATGTTTCTTTACAATTATTTTAAGTAGTAGTACATTTAAATATCAAAATGTTTAAATAACAATGTGAAAGAGTAAAGGACTGAAATATCCTTGCAAAACTGGCAAATCCTAACACCCAGCATGTTCTCCCAAGCACTCCATCAAATTGATCACATACAACTCACACCATATCCCCAGGAGAAGTCCGAGCTGCCTTCAGTCGAGAAGCCTGTTCCTGTGTAACTTGGAAAAGCAGACCTTGAATTCCCAGTGTCAGCTGAGGTTAAAGGTGATTCTTGTGTGATGTCAGATTCACTGAACACATAATTGGAAGCAGAAAAACAAAACAGAAAAATCCTTATTTTCTCAAATTTCTACAAAATTTATCAAGTAATACGTGCATATACTAATACAGCCATAGAAGCAATAATAAAGAACTTGATTACCTTCAAGCCTTTAAGACCCCAGATGCTATACTTTTTGATAGCCGGGCACTTTTTGATAGCTTTCGTTGCCACATTTGCTTATGCACACATTTGTCTTCAGTGATCCCTTCGA